TCAAAACCGTGCCTCTCGCGAAAGAAAAAAAAAATAGAAAACGCGTTTTTGTCCCTTTCCGAAAGAGGCACGCCCGTGCCTCTCGCGAAAGCACAACCGTGCCTCTGGCAGAAGCAAAACCGTGCCTCTCGCGAAAAAAAACAGAAAACGCGTTTTTTCCCTTTCCGAAAGAGGTATGCCCGTGCCTTTCGCAAAAGCACAACCGTGCCTCTGGCGGAAGCAAAACCGTGCCTCTCGCGAAAAAAATGCATTTTTTTTGCGCAAAAAAGTTATTTTTTTTGATTTTTTTATCGAAAAGCTAAGGAAGACCGGTAGAAAACCAAAACGTAAAAAAACCCAAAAAAAACCTTTTAAAAAGCCGAAAACGCGTTCGTAAAAATAAAAAAGAAATCCGAAGGGAGCGTCCAGAGCGCGACACGTGGCGAATGACTGTGAGCGCGCCAAGTGGCGCTGATCGTTGCGAGGCTCCCGAAGCAGCGCTCGTTAATTAGTTGCTCCCAATAAACAAGGCCAGGCAGCCAGTACTAAACAGCGGAAGGGGTCGCGAGTCGGCACACGTGGGACCTACTATATGCCGCGTATTGCGGCGAACAGACGAGGCTTCGCACAGGAGGCCGCTGACCTGGGCCGGCCCATTTGCATGACACGCATTTAAAAATGTTGAAGATTTACAACGCGGCTCTTAAAGAAACGAACAACAGGGGCAAAACATAAAGGAATAGCTCGCAAAAAATTCCCAAAAAAACGTGTTTTAGTGGGACCGAACACATGACCTCCCGTGAGAGAACGACGTCATTAGCTGAGCAACTTCTAATGAGATTTTCTGCTCACAAACGTAAATTGTTTTTCCCAAAATGATTTTTTAACAACAAATTACAATTCTTTTTGCCCCATTGCCCCGTCAAATTACAATTATATATAGCACTTAGGGAGAACACTATTGGTCGCACATTTTGAGTACTAAGATTTGCAAGTCTAGGAAAATAATTTTTCTTGACATCATCAAAATCCTCAAGCCATGAAACATATTGATTTATCTCCTCGCAATTTAGTTCAGCCTCGGGACAGTGGAAGCTCCTGTCTACCAAGCGCGGAACATGTTTGTTTGAATGAAAATAAGCTGTCAATAGAAATTAGTTGTTAACTATTTTTGAAATAAACAATATCGAAGACATAAATATGTTTGAGGAACACTCACATAATGGTAGAACTGAAGGCGTCTGCACATCGACCCAGATATCGGTATTACCTTCAATATCATCTTCCGAACGAATATCAAAGGTGATAACCATATCAGGCTCAAATGCATAAGCCTTGCATTATGCTTGCCAAGTTTTGCATTCAAAATAGGTGTAGGTGTCTGCATTGTATAATTTTGCGTGGAAAGTATAATCATGCTCGGTCTTCAAGTAAACTCTTTTTACCTCCATAGTTTTCATAGTACTGAAACCTATGTTATCAAATACAAAAATTCTTGCATGTCAGGAGATACGCTAGTAGAATAGTAAAAAATTAAAATTATAAGTTGAAGCATATGCTTAATTATGAAACAAGACTTGTCGTTGTGACCTACTGCATTCACTTCGAAGGTCTCATCCAGTTTGATGCTGAAGCGGCTACCATCAACTAGAAAATTTCTGTCGCATGTGACACGCTTGTCTTCGCAGTATTCGCATATAACGAAATCATTCTCGTCGTCAGACATTTCCTATGTTCATATATAGTTGAAATATTAATTGATATAAACACTTACTAGCAGTTCTACTGATTCAACTAGCTAGTTCTATTTATTCAACTAGCTTTATTAATTAAACTACTAAGCACTTATTAAAAATAAACTAGTTCTAAGCTTCTTACTAAATTCTCATATATAGTATACTTTTAACTCTTTTTATTAATTATTAGATCAACTAGTTCTATAGTAAACTTTTAATTAATTATTAGATCATCAAATCTCATAAATATACCTAAATTT